ATGCAAGTTGATGAAGAAGAATTTGATTTACAAGAGCTGCTAGAAGATGTGGTGGATCTATATTATCCGGTGGGTATGGAGAAGGGAGTGGATGTGATATTGGATCCATGTGACGGGTCAGTTGAGAATTTTAGGGATGTCAAGGGGGACAGAGGCAAACTCAAGCAGATTCTATGTAATCTATTGTACAACTCCATCAAATTCACAGATGAAGGTTATGTTTCTCTTCGTGTTCGGGCAATAGAAATCCATGCTACTCGTGAACACGACAATGATGGTGTTCAACTTGGCTCTTCTTGGAGTTATGCATCTTGCCTCCTTTTTGGAGGTATTGATCAAGATAAAGCAATAGCACAAACGAGACTCAAAGACAATGATGATGTGGAGTATATATTTGATGTGGTTGATACAGGGAGAGGTATTCCGAAGGAGAAACAAAAGTTTGTGTTTGAAAATTATGTTCAGATCAAAGAAAGGGGTGCCAATAGTAATGGACATCTAGGTCATGGTTTGGGGCTTGGCATCGTTCAATCTCTAGTCCGTTTGATGGGAGGGGAAATTGGAATTGTGGACAAGGAAATCGGGGAAAGGGGGGCTTGCTTTAGGTTTAACCTATTCTTGAAAAATCATCCTCCCAATAATCGAAGGCAAGATATAGAGTCTCAATATGGCTCTCGCTCCTATCCTCATAACTATTATCAGTATTCATCATCATCAAAAGTGCAAGGCCAATCAACGTTGTCATCACAAGTTGTTCTCTTCATTCAGAGCGAAGAGAGGAGTGAAGTTGTAAGAAGATTCCTTGAATTTCACGGGGTTAAGGTAATTGTCATTAATAAGGGATATACACAGCTAAGCCAAACACTAAAGAAGATCAAGCGTAAGCTTTCCACTTATTCCAAAAATGGCCTACCCATAACCACTCCTTCCTCCCACTCATCGTCATCTTGTTCATTGTCATCCTCAAGATCAAGAGCAAAGGAAGTGCCTATTTGTGCTTCAGATGGAACACTAGACACTACAGTGTTGATAATAATAGACAAGAGAGCAGGGCCATTCCCAGAAGTGAGTCGAGCAATTGCTGAATTCCAGAGGCAGTTCCACCAAGGATGTGCTAAAGTTGTTTGGATAGACATATCAAGCACACATGACACCTCAACTGATCTTGTCTTGTCCAAGCCATTGCATGGCTCACGATTACCTCAAATCTTGGAGCTTCTACCTGAATTTGCACCAACCAAAGGTACCAGTTGAGTATCCATATTTAATTTATGCTTCCTTTTAATTTACGCTTCCTATTTAATCAATTTCGCATTGATCATTCACTTTTTCAGGAGAGATACAAGTGGTAATCGACAAAGAAGAGTATGAAGATGATGAGTGTGGACCAAGCACAAGAGGTGACCTTGCTGCCCTAAACAATCCATTGCAAGGGAAAAGACTTTTGATAGTTGAAGATACTCCACTACAACGCAAAATATGCATGGCGGTAGTTTCCCAATTAGGTGCTCAAAGTTACACATGTGACAATGGTGCAGAAGCTATACGACTTGTGTATGAGACTCTACAAATTCAGGATACTCAACTGCCCTTTGATTACATCATAATGGATTGTGAGGTAAAAATTGCTCACTCCATTTTTGAAGTTCCATACAAATATTACTCGAGTCGCAAAAATAGTAATACAAATAAAACTTTTAGGGTGAGGCCGTTAGGGTAGTAGTATTAAATCAATAAGAAAAAAGTGCTCATATACACTATTTCGGATTTAATGCATCAAACCCCCTCATGATATAGAAATTCAGCGCATTAACCCCCTGTGATTTGAAAAATGCGTCAAACCTCCTTGTATTTTAATTAATCATGCACAGAACCCTTTTTATGACTAAATTTAATGATTTTGAGATCACTTTTCCAAATATTCTAATTGAATATGCAAGTAAATATCTCAAAATCTCTAAATCATACAAAAAAGTTAATCATTTTTCTTATATTTGATTATTGAATTTGTTCATAGAATGGATTTTGCGCATAATTAATTAAAACACAAGGGAGTTTGACGCATTTTTTAAATTACAGGGGGCTAATGCGCCGAATTTCCATATCACATGAGGATTTGATGCATTAAACCCACACTATTTCATCAGTGATGGAAATAATTAACATTCGTATTGATTAGATGCCAGTAATGAATGGATTTGAGGCGACAAGGCGCATAAAGGAAAAGGGGGAAGCAATGGGCATATGGATTCCCATCATCGCTCTAACAGCACATACAGGAAAGGAGGAGATGGGGAAGATCACTGGCGCTGGAATGGATTACTACTTAACAAAGCCCCTCACAGCTCCGAACCTTCTAAGAGCTATACAGTACTTGGACAAATAAAAAATCTAACAAAACCCTTCTAATTTTTGCATCTTTGACTTTTATATATGATGTTGAAACTCAAAGTTCAGTCATATTAGTAACACATAAATGGCCTAAGAAAGTCCACGCTGAGATACTTTGTGCAGATGTAGCGTGAGCTGGTGTGAGCGATGACATTTGGCTTGCCACGTGGGTATAAATTTAAGAATAGTGAGGTTGGAATGGGCTTTCCTTTGTACTACCAAAAAAAGAGGCTGGAGATGAATTTTAATAATCTCATAGTTTTGATAAGTGTTTGGCAAACCGATCTGACGGTCACCTCATTTTTACTGCCAGTCTGCCACTGCTATATTTTTCCCAAAATAATCCATAGCACTCCCGAGCATCACTCTGACATCATGCTTCAAAGCCTCCCAGCTTCTAATAATAGTTATTTTCCCATCTTGAGTGGATTATGTCGGAACAGGCTACCTGTAATCATCATTTTTCTTTACACTCATCGATATTTTCATTCAACTTGTTTGTATTGACATTCAAAAAGAATACCTGTTTATAAATTCCACTTTACATGCTACATTTATTAACTGCAGAATCCCGTAATAATCCTGAAACATTCAAAGATATTCAGTTTTTATAACTTTATTATTTTCTAAGTTCAATCAAAATCATGTGTCAATTGCTCATAGTAGTTGGGGGGAGAAGGGGGAAGACCTGATTAGTGTTTGCACGCTGCAGCAATTTATTGAGAGCATTTAGCATCCTGTTGTTGCTTTCGGGGTCAATAGGAGGATGCTCCCAAAGGGAATATGGATCTTGCAGTTCCCAGGGGCAGTGAAGATGTGTATCACTTTGGTCACTATTGTACTTGACAACATACCTTTCCCATGAGCTCCCTGGGTACTCGCTTGACTTGTCCTCCACAGATACGATCATACCATCCCACCATTTTCCCTCCACCAGAATTTTTTTATATGTATACAACATTTAACAATTCAAATTTAATCAATTAAAAAAGCTGCCAGAAGGATTAAGTTTGCCAATTGCCACTGCCCACTAAGCATGCGTTTCATTTTACAAACGAAGGATGGGGAGGATGAAAAACCAGTGCTCTGAAATCACTCACATCAACATATACCTGAACGGAAGCCGACGAGCCGACGATGACCTACGAAGAGTGAAGAGGCGACGTCTGTCGATGACCTGTGAAGCCCAAATACAGCGGATGACCTTTGCCCTTTGGAGAAGCCAGCGAACTCTGCAGACGGAAGGAAGACTGCGTAGGCCTTAGGGTTGAAGAACGAAGAGCGGACGATGAAAGGTTTGATTGTTCCGTGTGAGCAGGCCCTAAAATTTATCGGATCTGTGTTTAAATTTTTGGAAACGCGTTTCCAAAAAATTAAAAAATTGGGAAACGGCCCCGATTCACGTCACCCGTTTCCTGCGCTCGGAAACGTTCGAACGTTTCCGGAACGGGGAAACTCCCCACCCCCGTCCTGTTCCAAGTACAGTTGGAACATCAGCAGCACTAGGAGTATTTCTCCCAGTAAGATGTAAAGGAGGAGCTGAAGTTATTATGAGTTGCTTAAGCAGTTTTACCAAATGGTCCTTTTGAATGTGTGAATACCTAAAACAGAAAAGTTGAGATCGTAAACATATTGCAATTAGTCAAGCTGATTTATACGTAGAAGCAAAGACTGATGTATCTCCAGTTGCAGACAATAGGGTCATATAAATTATGATCAAGGGACAATTGATCTCCAGCATAAAAAACTGCAGATCCAGCAACCAGGGAAATAAATTACTTGTAAACAACAAATCTTCTAGAATTATTTGAACTGAGTATACTCAGTGTAACTTAATTGCTAAATAATCAACAGAGTTAACAAAACTGCAATAATAAACATGCATACAATCATATGTTTCATGAGCATGCATGCAACATACAAACAAATAACAAGTACCACAAACAAGCATGAAGGGGTAAAATAAAAGGACAATGAAGTCTATGAGTTTTCCAGAATTTGATGATTAAATATTGACCATACCGTTGGGGAAGGCTATCATAATTTAAAGGGAAAGATGATCCATCAGTCTCGCCACATCCTTTGCTTCGTGAATACCAAGCATGGCATCTCCTGGCTAGAAGCTCGTGTTTCTTCAAATTGTGTTTTTGTATGCATCTGTGATTCAGAAAACTTGGTGCCATATTTAAAGATGGAGCCCCGGTACTTGATGAACATTTACCATAATCCATCCTTTAACTTACAATCCAAGGCAACTGCTAATGTCCCTTAGCATATACATCTCAAATATCATTATCATGTTAAATAAACACAGAACAGTTATTAAGATTTGTCTTCAAGATAACTAACTGCTGATATTAAGTCTTTTCTCATTTAAAAAAGAGTCAAGATTTTATATGAAATTATTGGATAAGCCAAAATATGCAATCAGATTTCCAACTATTCTCTGACTTTCTTCCCCTTCTACCAATACGCTTGACTGCACAAATATTGAGCAAAGGCCTGCAGAACTTAATTTGTTTACTAGCTTTGTTTGACAAAGTAGCAAAAACTAAGTCAACAACCGAAACCAGATTGAAGAAAGAACATCGATTAACCGACTCATCTAATCACGCCATAAGAAAATTGATCATAGAGAGAAAGATAAAGAGCATATCCACAACACAGATAACAATAATAATTGTATATTATACAAAATTACAAACTGAATAATCACTTGAACATGAGATCTAATCGCCCTCGATCTTTGGCTTGTCGTTACCGTTGAAGTAATTCTTCTTCTCCCAAGGATCTGATGGGTTGTTCGCTTTCTGTCTCTCCCTCGCGTGGCTTGCGGCGGCGCTGAGCTCCTCCACTTCATCCCAAGCCGCCACGCACTCCCCGCTCTCCGGATCGCCGGCGCAGGTTTCCTCTGCGTTCTTCACGCTCTCCGCCACCTTCTCCGAGAGGCCGTCGGAAGCGGCAGCCACAGGCCGGACACGCACCCTCCCAGCGCCGCATCCGCTTGACATCGTCTTCAGGAAATGGTTGTTGTTTAGACACGCCAACTGAACGGCTTGGGGCTTCGCCGGGCGTGACGCCGCCATGGTCGAGACGCTGTGTGCGGCGGTGAGATTGATGCCAATTGTGATGGTTGCCATAGGTCGCGGCGTTTGGATATTTGAAGAAATGGACGTGCTGGTTAAATTGGATGGTATTTATAATCTGCCCGCAGGCGCAAATGCTCAAATCCTGGACGCACATTTCTTATCTTACAGTGGTTTACGGGAGACTTCCACGTATGCAGTTCGTTGAGATTCAATCTTTTATCCAAAATCCAAGTCATCAAAAGGACTCCATTTCGGTTTGTTGAACAAAATTATGGATTATGGAGTTCAGCATTTGGGTGAAAACCTGAGTTCAAATGAATTCAACATTTTGGCTCTAAGATCATTTGAAGTGGTATGAAGGCCAAAATGTCAAAAATAGACCCCGTTCATGTGAAATAGTGTTTTGACTCCTATTTTCATGCATTCCAGCACCGTCAATAAAATACACTCATCATATTTTTTACATATCAATTTCATAAATTATTAATTAAATTGTTATAAGTAATGTTATTTTTCTATTTTTTTCCTGAATAATTATGAAATAAAAAATGCACATTTCGATGTAAAAATAAATAAATTTCATTAATTTTTTTAACATTTTTCGGTTACCAAAAAATGAATTTAGTTCAAGTAAATTTTGATTATGAAATATTAGGTTATTGGTGAAGCTCCATTAATTTAAAATTTGTGTTTCGTATTTTTAGGCTCAGGAAAACTTCAAAAGTTAAAACTTTCAAAAAATCTATCATTTTTATATATTACATATTGGTATCATATGAAAGATAATAAAAATTAACACATGCCTCCACATTTCTCTCTCTCCTCCACACATGTCCACAATATTTTTTAGCCTCGAGAGTCCATCATCCCTCTATATTTACCCCCCTTCACCCTTTTCCATTTTTACTAGGGTTGGGTCCAAAAAACCGAAAACCGAATCAAATCATACCGAACCGTAGCCAAATAAAACCGAACCGCTAACAAACCGAAACCGAATGTAAAAAACCGAACCGAACCGTAGTTGTTTGGTTCGGTTTTGGTTTTTACCCTTCAAAACCGAACCGAACCGAACAAACCGAACTAGTTAAAATATACGGAGTAAAATTTATTTGTCCATTGTTAAGCATTAATCCTAACTAATCCTAATATCATTAATAGTTTTTGGTTTTCTTGTGCTAGAGAAATAATGTTTGTTATGTTTAGTTTAGTTTGTGAATTCATTTACACATTCATTGCACGTAATAATGTAGCTATACTGATAATATGTTTTTACTTGTTATTAGTATTAATTAACTTTTATTTTTATTTAACTTAAAGAATTCGTATTGATGAAACAATAAATATTTATCTCAACTATATCACATATAATGTATATACTCATGAACTTTTTTTGAACTAGACACAAACAATGTAAATTAATAATATATACTTTTATCTCTCTCGCATACTCATATAATTCATCACATATTTATGTATTTTCATTTTTATTTTATTTGTTGTAGTGTGCTTGCATTCTTTATGTAATATATGTTTGATCCCTCAAAGTACTATATCATTTTTAAATCAAATGATAATTTTTTGGTAAAAACCCGAAAAAAACGAAACTGAATCGAAACAAACCAAACCAATCAAACCGTGGTTCCAAGTTTTGGAGTGTAGAACCGAACCGAAACCGAACCGAACTTTTTACTTTGATTCTATATTTGGTTTTAGGTCAAAACCGAACCGCAAGAACCGAACTCACCCCTAATTTTTACTACCCATTATAGCCTACCACTACATGGAATTAGGAATCCAAAAATTCCATCTTTAACATTTTTTGACTCCTAAGAGCATATCCAATGCTACAATGTGCACGGTGCACATGTGGCATGTGAGATAGCCACATAAATATTAATAAATAAATTATATATCTCCTTATTTAAGTGATTTATAAAATTTTGGTAAGTTTTTCTCTGCAATGTCAAGGAGACTGTCTAGATGTAGACATTGTAGTTGACATTGTTAAAAAACTTTACCAAAATTGAATAAAATAATTCAAATAAGGAGAGAGATAATTAGTTTATCAATATTTATGTGATCATCTATCATGCCACATGTGCACCGTACACATTTTAGCATTGGAGATGCTTTAATACTACATGACTCTAAATAGTCTAACGCTAATAGCCAAAAATCCCCAAATGTATATCGATTTAAAAATGGAAATGAGTTAGTTAATTGTGTAAAATTTATTAATCGTTATGTTTATATATAAACATATGAACACTTCTAGCAACAATGAGGATGTTTTCTTTTGAATTGAAATTTGTTGGTCTGATCTGGTACATGTCTGGTCTTTGTGTATTTTATAACTATAAAAGTCTGATCTGATCTGGTCTGGGACTGAAAACAGTCAAAATCAAAACATCCTGAATCTTATTAAATAGGAGCTACATGCACTAATTAAATTCGAGAGGATAATGGCATCATATTATGAGCGATTGAACACGGAAAACTCTTGAAAAGTTTGCACTCTATAAGAAATTTGATCATAGCTAGCTTAAAAAGAGACAAACAAACCGAACTCACTGTTGTAACGTAATTACATTTGTATAAGAATAATGATATTTTATACTATGCTTGTGTTTCCTATGAATCACGCTACATTTTTTCAAATTGACACTATTATTGCACTTTTGTTTACAACAAAATAAAAATGAAAGGGAGACATCCTGGCTCAGACTAAATTACACTAATATTGCACTATTGGGGACTAAATTATGTCCAAATTATATACTCTAGATCATGTCTAAATTTATTCAATCTACAAAAGAGACTTCTTATTTAGAACCAAACAAATGTGTGGGATAACTTAACTGTGGGTCCAAATTTCATTACTCAAAGACCATACTGGGCCTAAAAAATTAGAGTAATACCCTGTAGTGAAGGGAATAACTGGTTTGAACCTTGTCTTGAAAAGTCACCCAAAATTGTGTTGGGGTATGTAGGGTGAAGCTATGTAGAAATGTAGAATCACATCTTTGTTTACCTCGTGGTCTCGTTGATTTCCCAGGCTTCCCATCGCGCCCAATTTCTAGATATTGGTTTACCCTGTCTAGTTTGCGCATATAATCATCAACGATGGTTGATGTACCCAACCTTTTACCGACTTTATACCCATCATGTTTGTGAAGTTTTTCTTTTGTCTGTGAACCCGGTTCACAGACAATATTTTGTTCGTGCAAAATATTGTCTGTGAATCGATGTTCACAGACAAAAAAAAACTTTCATAAACATGGATGGGTACAAAAGTTGGTATAAGAGTGGATACAAACATCATTTTTGTATAATCATTCAATCAAAATTGTCCTCTGTACCCACATTAGTACACACCCTATACACACTACTTAAACCCCCAAAAAAAAAGTTACCCCACTTTTCCCTCACCTCACACCCCCACCGACCCACGTTTCTCACTCGCTCCCCCACTCCTCCAAAATCAAAACTCCCACATCTTTCTCTTCTTCCTCCTCGAAAATCAAACTCCCGCCGTTCTTGAGAGTCGAAATTGTTGTCCCCTTCTCTCCCACATCCCCACGATCACTGTTTGTTTGAGGTGTGAACCGGCATCCCCACTTCCACTCTCTTCTTCGCCCAAAATTTGTCGTCGTTTGTCACCATCGTCTCGTCCAACTGAAAATTCATGCAAGAGGAAGGAAAATCCAGAAGTCTTCGTTGCTTAGGATCGTTGAAGGCAAGAAGCGACAGGTGTGCGAGAGTTTTGATTTTTGAGAGGGGTGGGAACACGTGAGGGGAAATGTCGGTGAGCGGTGAGGTGAGGGGAAAAGAGGGGGGTAAAAAAATGTGGGTTTAAATAGTGAGTATATGGTGGGTACTAATGTGTGTACAAGAAACAATTTTGATTTTTTTGGGTTTAAATAGTGTATATAGGGTGGGTACTAATGTGGGTACAAAGAGCAATTTTGTAATTATTTATACTTTGTCTATCGGAAAGAGATTATTTAATGTTGGTTTTAGGCGGCATGCACGATCGGATGCACCCGTGGATAATGAGTCTAATTTTCATCTCATTAATACAATTCTAAACAACAATATTTAGTTTTTTGAAAGAAAGATATAATTTGAATTAGAAATGAATGGCCCTTTGCACCGTATCTAATTTTAGATTATATTTCTAACTATTTTCATATTATAACTATCATAATTTTAGTTTACAACTAGAATCATATCCAATGCTACACATGGTGTCACATAGTTTGTTTGTACTTGTTTGAAATATAATATTATTGTGTCTAAAAATGATATACAATTCAACTTTACTATTACATCCGTCAATACAACTCTATTAAATAATTTTATTTTACAAATTGAACCTTTATCATAGTACATTATAACATATTTCTCCATAAAAACAAGTTGATAATTCCCCATCTTTTCCACCAAGCTACTAACAATGCCCGGTAATTTTAAATCTTTTAAACTTGGTATGTCGGAGGCCACATTCAAAGGACACGAACAATGGTTGTATAATGTGAATCTCAATGTAGCTTCTGATCGAAATAAACTACTTTCTTAATTCAACAATACCCCATTTGTAAGTATAACCATTTCTACCATCTCTGTCATGTTTTCCTAATATTTTTTTATTATCTAAACTCGTCTTTACTTTTGCAAGAACATCTCACGATGAGAATTGATAAGAAAATAATGAATATAACTTGTACATAAAATTTCGTTTAATAAATCAGACTATATCATACCAGAAAATTAATTTCTAAGGTACAAAAGACATCATCATTTCACAAGAAATCACATAGACGAAGGAATCCCACATGTGTGTATTGACATCACGGATTCACGGTCTCGCTAGCTTGAATTGAACCATGAACTTATTATAAGCTAGTCACCTATTTTTGTCACGCCCCGGACCGCATCCGAGCCACGTAGACAACCGTCGTACAACCCGATAAGAACAACAACAGTTCATCCCTATTGAATTGTACAAGGCGTCCGATTGATTCTATTACCAAACCGGTTAGTAAACACATACAATCAACATCAATATTAAAATCAAACAAATGCGGAAATAATAATATGTTTGATACTTAGCCACCCGTGGCAAACACGGGCACGCAGGCCCCCAACTGTTTTAATGAAAACATTGTTCAAAAATCCATGAGCAGTTTATAAATTTCAAAAATACGAATGGAAGCACGAACCACGTCTTCCTCCTCGAATGATCACCCTAGGCAAAGGTGCAGGTAGTA